ACACACACACACACACACACACACACACACACACACACAGGAACACACATAATCACACATACAAATTAGACAAAAAAGAGAGAGAGGAAAAATGAATAAGAAATAATGCTTGATGAAATATCTTTATAGTTTTCTAACGTGTAAGCGTGCATCTCGCCTGTTAATGAAATAATTAGTGTTTGTCCATTAGCACATTTATGAGAGAAGATGCTTGCCTCTGCCTGATGTGAAAACAGTTTTTTTTTTTGCCAGCATCTGCAAACATAAACATAAAAAGATCTAAAAGAAAGAAAGCAAGAGAAAAATATCTCATTCACGGGCTGTGGGCTTAAACGTTTCCTGTTGTCATTTACAATTTTCACATACATTTACACAGATTTTTGTTTCCCTCTGTAATTTTGGCGGTGTCATAACTGGATTTGATTGGTTGACCTCGCTGAACTCCCGACTAAAATCCTTCCCGTAACGCATTTGAACTCAGGTGCTCCCACCCAATCAGGGTCCAGCTGCATAGCGAGAAGTTCGCATTCAATAATTTTTTTTTTTTAAAGACACCCTTTTTAGCTAAACTACATTCATTTGCAAACCATTATGAGCAGTGCTATTCTTACTCACAGGCAGGGGGGGAATAAAACACATAAGAAAAAAGGAGAAAAGTGAATAATCCGACACCTTTCACGCTTTTAAAATATGCGCGGGTGCCGTTTTCACTCAGTGTGGTTGTGCAGCTGTAGTGGGCAGGTAGAGCAGCCGAGCCAAAGCCAAACAGGCAGGCGAGGCAGCCAGAATGAAGAGGTCAGTGTGGAGCTGAGCGCTTCTCCACCACCGTGTTAATTTACTATGACAAGATAAGGCTGTAATCTGCCCCCCACCCTCTCTCTCTCGCCTCCCGCTGCCCCCTGCTGCCTCACATCCAAGTCAAGCAGTCGCCGATGAGCCATTTACTTCCCCCTATCACTTTACAACAACTGCCCTGAGAGAGAGAGGGGGGGAGAGACCATCCCCCCCACCTCTTTGTAAATCTCCCCTATTTCTCCTCACTCTCCAGCCACTCTTCACTGACAGTCAGCGCTGAAGGGATTGGCACTGTTAAACACCCCCCTCTGAATCCCCCTTAAAAAAAGAAGAAGAAAAACTTAACACACATCTTACAACATGCCAAGCAGGCAGTCGGATAAGCCCCCATTCCACCCCCTGCCAGACACACACACACGCGCAGAGGCTTGCACTTAATAATCCACATCAACTATTATTAATAAGACTTTCCACATACACATACATGTCAACAGCCTCCCTTCTGGTGTCCATTAATGAATAAGAAAGCAGCTGTGTGTCATTTTGTCGTGAATATTTAAGGCTTTTGTCAGTCTCTCTTCATGATCACCTAAAGTGGTCAGCCACGACGCCTAAAATATTCATGAGTGTAATGTTTGTTTGGATAGTGTAAATCTAAATGAAGTGGGAATAATCTCAACTACAGCAGATAACCCAGTATGAAGATCTGCATCTCTGCACACCTGTGTGTTTCTTTATGTATTCCCCTGCAATCGCAGGACTTTGGTTTGCAGTCCACAGCTACCACACATACAGAGTCCACAGTAGGAGGGGCTTACTGGCTAATCAGCAAGCTAATTACAGAATTAGCTTTTAATTACAGTTGCTAACCACCGTTTCATTGTTTTATAGCGCGTGGGTATTTATGGTCAGTATGGGGGAAAGGTCGACAGGTGTTATGAGAGCACTGGTATGATAAGGTGTGTATCAAGGTGAAGGGCCAGGAGAAGTTTCCTTTAGTTTTTTTTTTTTTTGTTTTTTTGCCGTTTGTTAGGTAGCTTGCGCTAAAAAAATGCACAAGTTGCCTTGTGCCACATTTAGCTACTAGCTAACATGGATTTCCTGGCAGCTAAGGTAGTTATAGGTACATAATGAATCTACTAGTCGAAAAACATAAATAATATTGTGTTAATAACCCCAACACTCTTATCTCAAAAAACACATGTAGCAAAACCTTTATTTGTACATGCATCCCACATTAAATAATTTGATCATCATTATATAAAAATAATACAAAAGTCAGGGAGGAAAAGATTAAATGTGTTGCGTCAATACTGTTTGTGTCAACATATCACAGCAAGTTTAAAGAATAAATAAACGTCTGATACTCACAAACTAACTAGCAAAAATACAGCTCAATATTCAATTTGAATTACGCAACTTTACATATACACACACTGACACAGACACCTTTACAAATACAGCGCCATACATTTAGCACCACCAAGCAGCCTCACACTTCATCCCCAAGAAAATGACTCACACAAATGGCTCACATTTTAGCAGTCACGCAACTGTGCATCAAATGGGCTCAAGGCAACGGCTGGTGGCGCACACATAAAAGCGGAAAAAAAGGGGAAAAAAAACCTCTCTCTCTCTCTCTCTCACACACACACACACACACACACACACACACACACACACACACACACACACACACACACGTGCAACCAAATTTTATCCTTGAACCTAAAAATGTTCATATTTAAAAAGAAAAAGTCAGCTCCCAGAAAGAACCTGCTTTCTACTTGCAAAGAAAGTCAATTTCTGTTTTTGTTTTTTTAGGGTTCTGCTTCTTTTCACATCTACCGTCAGTCAACAAACAAATAACCTCGTTTTCTTTTATCATTGTGGAGATACATGTACCTTTTCATACTTTGGCTGCCATAAGAAGAGTAAACAACATACCAAAGTTAAAGCAGACCCAAACTGTTAATGCATTCAATATGTGAAAAAAAAAAGCTGTTTACTTATCCAGAAATGACTGGAAATCCCATAAAAGCAAAACCATTCTAATTAGTTAGGAAATGCTTAATTCACGAAATTAAAATGACAAATACACAAGGTCGAGGAAGTTAATTTCCAGCTGAATACATCTGCAAAATGAAACATTTTGCAAGCAAAGATTGTAGATTTTTGTCATACAGGTACTAATTCCATTTTCAGCCCAGGCTGTCTTAAAGACAGAAAACTGCTATGCTTTCAATAATCGCTTAATTCGAAGGGTTGAAACTACCATGACCACAATCTGATCTGGGGTCTGAGCCTTGGGGTTACTTTCAACCCCAAGCCTCTCAAACGCACACAGGTAGACAGCCTTATAGGAAGGAATTGGAAGGGCAGAAAGCCAATGGAGATAGAGATGAAGCCAATGACCAAGCCTGCAGTCTGTAAAACTGAAGGTCTACATTGGTAACTTAGACACATTTCTATGCCAAGTGGTTGGTTGTGGTTAAAAAAAATGTTTTCTTTTTTGTGGCCTATGGCAATGCAGTCCCAAAGTCACACAAATGTTAGCATCACTAAAGGTAGAGTCATAGTTTTTTTTTTAACAACTAATCATAACAGCCTGGACACTGACATCATCAAGTACCGTTAATGGATACTGCACTTCTTTGGGCTCCAGCTATAGTCTTAAGCACATGAGAGAGCAAACATACAGAGATTCCTTCATGTATTGGTGAGAATCGCATGACTAGCTAACATGGCTAAGTACCATTCCGATGCGGTTTACTGATGACACCAACTCACAGGTGGCGTACAACATCACTGATCCCACCAACGATGTCACCTCTGTGGCCTCTTAATGCTGCCTCTCGTTCTAAATACAATAGTTCATAAATAAGGCTTTAAAAACAAATATTCAACAGCTGGCTGCTCATAATCACTGTGGCATTCAAATACCTTTGCTGACACTAAACATATCTGTGAATGTAGGGTCTGCATTGTATCTATGTATGGGATAACCATGCAAGTTTTGGGATTCTTCTTCTTCTGGGCATGTAAACATAAGATCAATTTTAACTCCTTTTTCTGGGTTATATCTGTTTATATTTCAGAAACTGGAAGCGTGTAGGACCTGCCAACGGTCATTTTTACAAAGTTTCTCTACAAAGACTTTTGACTTCTCTGATGAGTTCAGACACAAAGGTTCCTCCTAATGTCTCTTCAACTGTTTCACCTGTAACCCCAAATCAGCTACTGTCACCCACAGGTGTGTGCCCCGAGCGTGAGAAACGATGGGTGAGACCGATTTGAAAACCGTTATTATTTACCATGTTGGGCGGGCTGTCCAAGTTGCGGTTGGGGGGCGAGCGAGGGGACACCTTGTTGCAGTAGGAGGCCAGGGGGAGGTGGATGACACCGCCCAGTCCCTCACTCTCCTCATCCTCCACTCGCTGTCTGCTGGTTGCCATGGTTACCTCTCCATCTGTCCCCCCATATGGAGAGGCTGGTCGCTTGGAAGACATCCTGGAAAATAAATAGGAGATAGAAAGACAAGAGAGAGAAGGAAAAACAGGAGGAAGAATGAGCAACACTCAAAAGATGATATAATAGGCTGACAACTCCACTTATATGTTGGTAGCAATGAAAAGTGTGGAGGCTCCAAACTAGTTCTCAGAAACTCCCGGATAGTTCAAACTTTTAAGTGTTTACCCCTCTGCTATCCGTTTACTGCCTTCCGGTAGACATTCATCTGATCAACCTGCAACATTTCTCCATCTTAAGTTTTCTGGGGAAACCCTTGCCCTCATAAAGACAACAACGGGGCATCTCCTCACATCGACTTTAGCGAGCTTCTTGGCAGACATTCAAACGCACTCTCGGGTCTTACAGTATGTTTACCATCGGGGCCGTTACTGCAAAAGGAGCGCGCTTGGAGGAAATGACCATGTCTTGACAATGGGCTTTCACAGAGAAAAACAGATTGTGAAAGAGAGAGAGAGTGTGTGTGTGAGACAGAGAGGGAGAGCAGTATGTACAGTGACAATAATGTGTGTTTATGAAAACCTCTGGACAATAGAGTGACGGGAAGGAAAAAAGGTAGCAGCACGACAGCCCCCGCTGTTTGCATTTGTTACTCTGCCTTTGTTCCCTTGAAAAGAAGCAAAGGATATAAAGCCACATCTATTAGGTGAACTCTGTCTCTCACAAGGTAAATTTGCCTCCCTGTACTTCAGCTGAATAGGGATGCAGTGACTATGCGGCAATAATAGAATTTAATGTGGTTCTCAGCATCGCCTGAGTGCTTTCAGATGCACTTGTCAGCCTTGAAGCCACTGCGACTATGACCCTGGGTAATAGGCTGCTAACGCTCAGTCGCACAGAGGCAACACATGACAGCAATGGAAGGATGGAGGGATTGTGAAAACTTTAGCGGAGGGTTGATCCTGATGAAATAAGCAACAGGCATCTGACTTTCAAACTCCGCTAATTTGTTCCTTCTTTTGACTTAACAAGCTGGTTTTTTTCACTCATCCGCTCACTCTCTTTATCCGGCATCCATATCGTGCCTGCCTGTGATTTCCTCCGTTTTCCTCTTCAGCCTTTCTCCCTCAAATTCTTCCCCTCTCTCCCCTGCCTGTCTCTGGTAAACTGATTACACTCTCAACTCTATTGGATTTCCTCTGGACTGTACATCTGGCATTTTTCCTAGGAGCAGCCCTGCTGCTAATTCATTGCTTATTTACCTTATGACAGTGGAAAGGCAAACAATATTGAGTGCAGCTCACTGGAGGCGATGAGGAAAGCGCCACGCTAGGACACGCAACATGCGGCTTTATCACATCGAAGGAAGGTTACGGTCAAAATCAAATAAACTCCGCTGAAGTATAAGGATTAAAGAAAAAAAGAAAGAAAAAGAAACGATAAAGATAAAGAAAGGAAACCGAAAAACCCCTGCACCATAGTGACCTAATTTAATTACATTTAATTGATTTTGGAGGATGCTTGCAATATTCATAGATATACATAATCTAATAATTTAAACTGATTTACAAATTGGAATTTGTATTCTCTGTTTTCGTACGGAGTGTATTTTGTATACAGGATCTCTTTTTTTTAATTTTTTTATGTAAAACCCCAGGTTTTCAGGATCATGGAACTTTCCTTCCATGCGTTTTTGAGTTTCAATGGGCTCTGCAGAGCTGTTTAACGCTGCACCGGACTATTTCATCCACTTAGAAGGGACCCTTCATTTGAAGTTAAATCAGAAAATTGCTAAATCACCACTACAGATATATATATATATATATATCTTTTACTACTAAATCAGAAAGTTCTGTACAGCTACAATTGTTTCTTTTCAGTGACTTTCTCGCAGCTTTAATCAAGGTTAGACTGGATGAAGCATGTTCTAGTAGTTACAATAATGTTGACGGTGGCTAAGTGCTTTCATGAAGGACGCCGTATAAAGTACACGCAACCAAACACAGAGACAGTTGTCGAAATCAACTGGCTGGTGTATCTGCAGCTGATTTCTTTATCGGTTTCTCCTGGACGCTCTCTCTTGCTCAGCAAAAACTAAGGCCATAAATGACAGCTGAAGAATGTGTATTGTTTCGAAATAAAACTGCACAATGAGAGCACTAAAGCAAATTGATATTAAAACTGACTTGAGATAACATTTATGATGCATGTTGGAATGACTGTGGGGAAAGCTATATCTGTGCGTGTGCGCCGCCGCGCTGTATAATGCAAGCGGCAGGCCCAGCTGTACAAACTACACACACACACACACACACACACACACACACACACACAACACACACACACACACACACACACACACACACACACACACACACACACACCAGAGCAGAACACTGCAGGTCTGTCTTCATCACCGCCTGTTTACTTTACCTCCTTTCACTCTTTCACACTAAGGCCTTTTGTTTCAGACACACACACACCTCCCCTTGTATCCTTTGCACACCTCTACTCCAGCCATAACCCAACACACACACACACACACACACACCTGTGATCAGTTTTGAGAGCTCTTGCCTCGCTAATGTTACACTTTGGCTATGTTACAGAGACATCTTTGAAAGCATGGGAGGATTTTAATTTGGGTTTTACAACGTTGTTATCCATCATTTAACCACAGTAGCCACAGAAACATATCTAGATATATGGGCAATCCATAGACAAGAACAGTTACACATTAACGCAGAAGGCAACACAGGTATCCAAAAGCTCTAAGGGGCAGGGAGAGCGACTTCAATCTCTGGATTTCCTTCTCTCCTCTTCTCATTTGCCCACTCCTCTCCCGCAACTCTGCTACTACTTCCTCAGAGGTGGGTGTCTATGAATGGGGAGGCCATTCGCAGCTCCTCTCCGGCTATAAAGTCCCTCTTTCCCCCGTCTGTTTGCCTTTGAAGTCAAATTACTATACAATTGGGCACAGCGGGTGTGCAGGTTTCGCTGGCTACTTCATTTAAAAGTTTGGCAGGGCTGTCATGCTGGTGGTGGACCTAAAGGAAGCGGTCTAAACAGCGAGGATTTAAAGAGATAATGTGATTAATTTCCAGGCTGTCTTAGGTAATAATTAAGGGAAATTAGCATAATTTTGTTTAAAAAAAAAACGAAACAAAAGAACACCAAGGAACATCTCCTTCTCTGTTAAACACACGAGACACATGTATGTTTCTTTAACATTTCTTTAACAAATGAGATGACGACCCTTTTTTGCCGTATTTACAAATTCAAGCAAAAAGAATTTTAAAAAGTCATCTTTTTGCCCTCACTTCATCCAAACTCTCATTTCTTTCACAGAAAAAACACATACACACACAACACCACACAGTGAGAGTGCTAAGCTGAGATTAGAGTGCCACTTCCCTTTGGCTTTTTGATGATTAGTGGCTCCTCAACTAAGTCCCTCATATCACATATGTCCACCGCAGCTAAGTCACTAATCGGACAGCGACGGACGTCCATTAAAAGGCCGAATAATCGCCATCAGCGGTGGTTAACTGTCTCCTGGCCATCGCTTACTGTAATCAACACGTCCATTTCACGTTGGCACGTCAGCGACGGCAAGCTTACGCAAGCGTGTTTAAATACAGGCAGCGAGCTTATGAACACGCGATCGATGTTGCTCTCACACGCGAAACATCCCCCAGAAATGCATCCAGACACATTTCAAATGAATTAAGCAAAGTGGGGACAAAGATTTGTTTAAGCTTTGAGGGAGAGCGAGAGAAAGACAAAAGCAGCCATCACAGAAATGTCACAGACTATCGCACACACACACACACACACACACACCCGGCTCTTTCACTCTGTGTGTCTGGCTGCTAACATAATCATGGTGCTAACTGCTCTTGTTAACTCCTCTACTCAGAACAAGCTTTCAGGGAGCGTGGGAGCCTCCTCTGGAGAATTCCACAGTAAAGTGTGCGTCTGTGCTTCGGCATATGCACGCGTGAGTGTGCGTGTGCGTGTTCGCACCCTCGCTTTAAATTACAACCCATTATTTCAGCCACCACACAGTCAGTTGGATCTATCGTCTGCAGTAAAAATAAGCGCAGAGGCTAATTCCAAAGGGCTGTCAGGAGCCAACGTGACATTTGTGTTTTCGTTATTCCTCCCCCCACTACCACCACATCCACCACCACCTTAAGAGCGCTAAGAACTGCCTGCCTGTCACTCAGGTGTGGGGTCTATTTGCGTGGAAATGTGAGCTATCTTTGAAATTGTTCTCTGAGGGGATGGAAGGGCATATCAAAATAGTTGAGCGGAATGTGCCTTTTAGATAAGGCGCCCAGAGCGTTTTGCCTCAGAGGAGCAGACCGCAACATTTACGTATGACACCTCAGGCAGGAATTTCAACAAATGTTTCCCCTTTGTGTCACGCTATCGCTCATTTTATTGCCATCTTTTTCTTTTTGTTTATCCTCCTCTTTTTCCTTCTTCACTTCCCAGCTTTCAAAACAATTTCCCCATCTCCTTCTACCTCCGTCTCTCCGTCACACGCTGTTGAACTTATTTGAACACTGCTTGTCCTCCTGCTCTTTCCCTCTCCCCGTCTTTTCTCCCTCTCCCTCCCCTGGTGTTGTCTTACTCACTGTTCCCTCTTTACACAATCAGCTGTTTGTAAGAATGTCGCTCCATCGCTCCCCTCTCTCTCCCTCTCCCTCCTTCTTTCCCTTCTTCTCCGAGCAGACTCTTAAGGATATTGCCTAATATCTATTTATAGACTGTCCTTTCGAACAGTGGGATGAGTGGGGCAGCAACAGAGAGGAAAAGCTGAGATGGAGGCGTAAAGATTAGGAAGGAGGTGGTCAGCGATATTCCCTTTTACTTTGGTGCTGCTTTGCTATATTTAAATATTCTTGACAAGCACAAGATTTCGTTTTAGACTCTGAGAGAACTTCGGACCAATAAGCCCTCAAACATTAGCGACTTGTAGACAAAATACCAATTTTATAGGGAGACATTCTGATGAAGTGTGAAAATAAAGTTTA